ACCGAAGATATACTGAGAGATCGGCGGCGAGAAATCCATGATCCTAATCTTCCGTTTTCATTGAACATGTTCAATGAGGCCTTGATTTTAATCGAAGATTCCTGCTTATCCATTATGAACCGACGATTGAATCAACTCGGATTGTTCGCACCTGATAGATCAGGAAATAGAATTTCTGATCCTGATATTGACCGCGAAAGGAACTACAATGCTCAGGATTTAGCCTTATTCGTGGAAACCAATCTCCCGAAATTGTTACCGGAACAACGTGATGTTTACGATACGCTCGAGGAAGCAATTAGGATGCGTGAAGGAGGGTTCTATTTTCTAGATGCACCAGGGGGGACAGGAAAAACCTTTCTTATATCGCTTCTCTTGGCGAGAATTCGATCTCAGGGTAGGCTTGCACTAGCAATGGCTTCATCTGGTATAGCAGCAACACTCCTGGATGGAGGGCGAACAGCACATTCAGCTCTCAAGTTCCCTTTAAATTTGCACACAGTTGATACTCCCACATGTAAGGTGACTAAAAAGTCGGGCATGGGAAAAGTTCTCCAAACTTGTGAGCTTATTATATGGGATGAATGTACGATGGCACACAAAAAAGCACTGGAAGCTTTAGAACGTTCATTGAGAGACCTGAGAGGAAATGAAAAACTATTTGGAGGAGCACTGATACTTTTATCTGGGGATTTCCGTCAAACACTGCCAGTGATACAACGATCGACACCCGCTGACGAACTGAGTGCGTGCTTAAAACTGTCCTTCTTATGGCGGCATGTGAAGACGCTGACACTGACGACTAACATGCGTGTGCGCCTACAGGACGATATGTCGGCTGAGAAATTCGCGAAACAGTTACTCGATATAGGGTGTGGAAACATTCCAACTGATGAATCTGCAAGAATGACTCTGCCCGTTGATTTTTGCACGATGACATCGTCTAAGGAGGATTCGATTGAGAATGTCTTCCCACAAATCGCAGTCAACTATACGAACCGGACATGGCTGAGCGCGCGAGCTATTTTGGCTCCCACTAACAGGGATGTTGATGATATTAATTTATCCATTCAAGAAGAGATTCCAGGTTGCGAAGAAACATACAAATCGATAGATACCGTGTTGCACCAAGATGACGCCGTCAATTACCCGACCGAGTTCCTCAATTCGCTCGATTTACCTGGCATGCCACCGCATCTTCTCAGATTGAAAGAGGGAGTGACGATCATCTGTCTTCGAAATATTCATCCCCCAAGACTGTGTAACGGTACGAGACTCTCAGTCAAGAAACTCACGAAAAATGTTATTGAAGCGACAATTTTGTCTGGTAAATTCGGTGGTGAGCATGTTTTGCTGCCCCGGATTCCGTTAACCCCATCAGATGTTCCTTTTGAGTTCAGAAGGTTGCAATTTCCCGTACGGCTCGCATTCGCAATGACGATCAATAAGGCTCAAGGTCAATCTCTGCAAGTTTGTGGCTTGAACTTAGAAAATCCGTGTTTTTCGCATGGACAACTGTACGTGGCCTGTTCTCGAGTTGGAAAACCATCGAATCTATTCGTCTACACACCTGAAGGGAAAACAAAGAATATCGTTTATGACAAAAGCACTCATATGAAAATAATGTCCAACAAATAGCAGACAAATGACGCACCAGACAGAACAGATGATGAATAACCAGAACAGAAACAAATAATGAATAACCAGACAGAATAACAAGGCATGAGTGAAAAATATGGAAAATTTGATTGTGGTACCAACAACAAGATCTAACAAATAACAAGGGTTCCGGAAAAGCCTCCGTTTCTTCAATGGAATCGGATCATGACGCTCTATGAGTCCCGATCCACTTTGTCGATCAGTTTTCTTCTCCAGGGGTTCCATTCTACGTTCCCAGCGTTTGCACTGCGCCCCTAGCGCTCTTATCGGAGCACCCAGCGTCCTCAATTCTGCACTATTTCGACGACACTTAAGGTGTCTCTTGCCCCGTAGCGTATCTATAATATCCGAAGGAATTCTCAAACGCAGAATTTCTTCTTCCGCTCCAAAAACTGGAGATGTCGCTGACATTGTCAATTGGCGCCTATACATAGTGATCTGCTATAAAAAGATTATCCATTGGTATCAGTTTATCTATCGAAGAACGAAGCTTCCCGGGACTCTTCTTTAATCTCCGAAATGCCATCAGGGAAGGACGAGAATCCAAAACCTAGGAGGAGATCTCAAAATACGCCGTCAGAGCAAAAGAGAGTTCATCCAAGGGACGAATCCCGATTGCTAAGCGAGACTGAGTCCCCTGCCGACGGATCCCCTGGTCCTAGCAATCGAAAGAGGTCTTGGGACGAATCTGGCGGAGGGAAATCTATTGGGAATCCTTCTTCGAAAAAATTCGTCCACTAAATGACATTAGTTTGGATCGAATCGGTGGAAGAATCGAAGGACGAGTGATGACTAAGAGCGACATGAAAACTTTCAAGAAGGATAACACCGATGGGAACCTCTTTTCATTCACTCTCGCGGACAATACAGCCGATATTAATGTACTGGTGACAGGGGAACTCGGCCACGAAATGTTCGAAAAAATACAAACGGGGCACTGCTATCAGATATGTGATTTCAAACAAAGGCCCTCGCATCCTCTGTACAAGGTCACGAACCATACGTGTGAATTGCTTCTGGGAAAGGTGATTTTTCTACACTTTCTTTCTCTTTCGATAAGTGCCTAGAATATGAAACACGAAAAACCTATTTTTCAGATCAGTGAAGTGAGACAGATCGACGGAGATCATCTCCCCAAAAAGGTTGAAAAGTACTTCACGATAAATCAGATTAGAGATACGGAGGTGGGGAAGATGATAGATTTACAGGCTATAATCTACGACGTCGGGGAAATTCATTCATACTCGGGGAAAGCGGGCGATAGTACGAAATCGGACAAAACATATACTCGTGGATGATTCAAGGAAGATAGTGTCGTTGACCTTATGGGGCTCACTGATACACAAAGTTGATGATCGTGAGGGTCAAGTCGTGGATTTCCAAAAACTCTCTGTGAAAGAGTTCAAAGCTAGGAAGAATCTCTCCTCAACTGGGAATACAAGCATCCAGTTCCCAATAAGATCCAATTCGAGAACACGAGAGCTCGAAGATTGGTGGAGAAGCAACAAGGGAAATGTGATATTCGAAGAGCTCGATATTCCCACCTAAAATATACCGTCTCAGTCAGAGAAGTAAAACAACGTTTGAGCGCTGTCGTCATACGTAAAAAAGCTCTGCGATTTAATCGTTTAGAATAGGTCATATGACGACTAGGTCCCTCTTCCGTCGCTTTTTTTTAATCGTTGTCATTTGTGAGGGATTCTTTGACTTATGTAGTCTGTCCTTATAAATTGTTCTTTCTTGGTGAATTTTTATCGAGTGGTGGACAGGGGCGCGGCACAGCGCGCGGGTCGCGCTAGTTACTAATATTAAAACAACCACCCGTCAGCTGGCACCGAGGTAATGTCGGTCGCTGGCTGTTGATTTTGGCAGAATATACATACGAATAAACAAGCATTAAGTACATAATATTCAATGTCCTTCCCGTACTGATACATATTATGATACTACTGATGATAAGGATACGAGTTCGACGATTACTCCCTTTCTCCTGAACACTCCCGACTATCTTCAGTGGCCTAATTTGAATCGAACTTGATGATTGATGAATTCATTGATTTATTTATCCATGTATCGCCTGCCCTCCTAAGAAACAATAAACTACAGTAATTACACAAAACCTCGATGACCTCTTCGCATTCAGGTAGAACTCATCGGAGGAGTCTCCGGCGGCATGCAGGGGCGTTCACGGGACTTGGGAGAATTAAAATCGCTTGAGGGAGCTCGATTCTAGATCGGTAGAAACCTCGCGGATCAAGGACAAGTTAGTGATATTATCCCGGGGGCTCAGCCTGGACGATCGGTACTAGGCAAGGGAAGTCGCTCCGTCTCAAGAGCGGATGACACGAGACTCGTCTCCTCCCGGATGGAACATCGAGTGCAGCCTTCAAAGCTCATCGGAATCGTGACAATGTGATTCCGCGCAAAGCTGTCGGCGATTTGCGCTCATTGAGAATCTCCGACATCTGAAGTCGACGAGACGTGCACTGAGCCAGATCATCCGTATGATTGAGCGTGAAGACTCGTTCGAAGAATCTTTCGCACACCGTTCCGTTCTCCCCATTACAGTTCCAGGATGGTGGGAAGATTCTGGAAGAAGTATTGTGCTTGATTTTGGTCCCCACAATCGTGGCTAAGAGAGGTCCTCAGAGAAGCAGGACGTCGTGGGAGCCGGTGATCATGACCTGCTCGCAGTTGCGATGGCCTTCGCCAAACCTCGGTGATTTGTATTTCGTCCTCGCCACCACGTCGAGGCAGAGTCCATTTTCCCGGAGAATAACCCTTCACATCATCGGCGGGAAACTCCTAGCTCGAGCGACTTATGCTTTTATCGGCGTTGACGCGGACCGCAACGGGGAACTGCTCGAGATCATCTTCCCAGCGAGTCGTTTGCTCGATCTCGAAACCGAGTTACGGAGATTACAGCTTCAACACGATCCTCCAAGGGTATTGGATAGTTTCGTTCGGCTCGAGCGCTGTTTGCGCTATTCCATCGCTTGGAGACTTCCCCCGGCTTGGAATCAGATAGAACGTAAGTTGGTGATGCGAGACGAGTTTTTCGTCGATGGGAAGAAGCATCACTGGTTCGTTGAATTCGATCTTTCTGTTGCCCCAACGTGTATCGTCATCACGATAACAACCTGTGCAATGATCCGCCTCAGGCCGGTCACGATCGAGGCGTTATTCCCCGGAACCCGACTAGACAAGTCCGAGCGAGTAAAACTCGACGAGCAGCTCGCTGGGGACAACATTGTGACTTGCGAAGCGTTTCCCTGCGTCGTCCTGCCGTCCTTGAACGAAGCTACGATAATTGCTGTCGCTCGGAAACCATTCGGAGTCATTGACACTGCCACAAAAATGTCGTCTTACTGGACTGGACGGTACGGTTACCATCTCGAAAGCGAGCTATCGCGAAACGGGGCCTTTTATTGTGAGGTTGTTTTTCGCGAAGGCTGTCGCTTTCTTTATCCAGATTGCTGCTTGAAATTGGATCCAGGGTCCGTAATTCACCGACACAGCAGCGAGCACGTTGTGCACGACTTCTGGGAAAGTATCGGGAGAATACTCAGCACCATCAACAGCTCGGACGACGTCAAGTTTCCAGTGTCTAAGTTAAGTCTTTCCCTCCTTTGTGCTGGAACTGCATTCCGTGGTGATGACAAGCCATGAGAACCGTTTTATCCGGGTTGTGGTCATTAGTCATGAGTCATGAGTTATAATTTCTCACCATCTTTGTGTGTCGCTCATAGTTTTTTTTGGAATATTCTTGTCTTCACTCCCTGATGTATCGGAGCTATTGTTGAATTCGATTGGTACTAGAACGATTATACCCATCTTCAGCGAATACTTTGAAGCGAAGAGAGAACGTTCAAGTTTTTCGAAAGACTCTCGCCCTTCGGTTCGGCTCGTTATTGTCCCCGAGCGGTTTCCTGATCGCATCGCGATTCAGTTTTAGTTGCTCGCCCTACCACGTCCTTGTTTTAAGTTGTTCGATAGAAGTTTTCGCTCGGCATCGAAGATGGACCTCGGACGGACCGCATAGCAACTGCTGTACTGATACAATCCGTATGTTTCCCGGAGTTATTCGCCCGAATAAACAGGTTTATGGCACGACAGCGAATGCCCTCAGTAGAGTATCTGGCGGACCTAATCTCCTCTCTCTCAGAGTTCGAGTGGTGCTCTCAGGGTTTGCACCGCGGGTAAGTCGCATAATTTGGAAGTCAGATCCGATATCATCTACCCAAACGATGCCAACCTCTGCCCCCGCCCCCCCTTCCCCCGAGCATGGAAAGCACAGACCGAACGGACCCTACGGCAAGGACGAGCCTGAACTCTCTGTGCTGATGTTTTGCTGGGAGCAATTATCTGCTTGCATGAAGCATTTTCCCCAATTAACGTCGGGCAAAGGTCACGCTCGCGCCGATCGCGCTATAAGTTCCAGTGATGCCCCTTCTGCGGTAACGGCAGAAAAGTTGCGAGCTGTCAGACCGACTGCTTCGGGCATCTCTCCTCCACTCAATCAAATTACAGCTGCCTAACAGCTGGTTTAATGTACGTTTCTGCTCGTCACGGTTATCTTCCGAGGCCGCATGGACGATGTGATAGCTCCTCCGAGCCACTCATTTCCTCATTAGATGATACTTTCTGCGTATAAGTGAATGGACGGCTCTGCTGAATGCTGACTGAGAGGGCCGAATCGGCTGACTTGTCGACTCTGCTTCGATGGAAGGAAAACGGGATCTCGATAAGCTGATGGGAGGGGGCCGGAAGGGAAAAAACAAGCTAGGAGATTTATGGACCGAAGAGCGAAGAATAGATCCACATAGTTGCTCCTCGCCACCTTCACGGAGGGCAAGCCCACGTCATCGCTCCAATTGATCGTATCCACAGATCATGCGATGCTCATCACTTGGCTTTTGCCCCTGGCGCGTAATGGTATTTGGTTACCGAGCGATTTTGGGTAGGAAACGTAACAGCTCCGCGGGCTGAAGCTGGGGCCGGGGGGAAAATATTGGGGAGTAGGCTCCCGGAGTAGGCGCATGCGATTACGTTCCAGGTGCGCGTGACGCTTGTCGAATGGAGGACTTGACTGAGCTCTAGGCCGATTTGGTCGCGGGAATGCCTTAGGATGCTGGCGGTCCTCGTCGCGGCGAATTCTGATGCCCATGGTTCCTGACTTTTTCCTGCCGCGGGGTGACGGAATCTACCTCGCTGGGGTGAGGAATCGTCTCCGATTCAACGGGCGGTCGCAGCCTCACTCTCTTGCGTGCCAAGTTTTTCCGGGAACTTCGCGATCTCGCTTCCCGGGTGTGAGTCGTGTTTCTCCCGCAGGAGAGCACTGCGTTCGCACATCCGGGATATTGCTGGAGAACGCTTTTGTTAGAGGAAAGATTCCAGAGGCAGTCTTCCTGGGGAACCAAAAGCGGACCTCAGGAACACGCTCGATCATCGAACCCTCGAACATCGATCGATACAGTCATCTATTGAACGTTGAAATTACCCCCGGGAGATCTGGATAAGCAAAGATCCTTGCGAAATCCCTAGACGACGAGCCTATATTTTGAGCCGGCCGACGAGAAGGCACGTCTTCCCTAGTGGTCGATCACTGAGCGGCGGCAGAGAGGGCACGCCTCAACGTTGATGACGTTCCCATGCATTCAGAGTTTGATGTTCTCCCCGAGGCCTATCTCTATTTCTCTCAAGAAATTCAATTCCTCCAATCTTCGGCCTCCTCATCCCGGTCATCCAATTCATGAGGGATACCTGCTCGTGTCGCCGGGCCTGTGCGTCATCGCGGAAACCGCACATCATGTTGAACGAGTTCGGAATGGATTCTTGTTGGGAAAAACCGTCACGAGCGACGAGTCGAATTTGCTTGCTCCCAAGGGAGGACAGAGCACATCGTTGCGACCGCGAGTGCCGCTGTCGTCGGTGATGGATCATCTTCCGAGCCCTCCCTCGACAACAGAAACCCCTGGAAGATTGGCTGGGTGCGGGAATTCGACAAGAAAACTCGGGGGAAAACAAATGCGAGAATTATGTCATTATTATTATTATTCTCTGAGAACATCACTCGCCATATACGGCGCCCATGATGCGGGAAATAACTCAGCGCGCCCACGGATATAGCTCCAGTGGTGACCTGCTCCGGCCCAGCAACACCGAAAGCATCAGGCATACAAATCCTTCGCAGTGGGGATTCCTGCGGTCGTCATGAGCTAAGGGGGAGCAGGCAGCTGACTCACACGTTGTCATTACGGAGACGCAGCTGAGCTTTGCGTAAACAAATCTTCTACAAGCCCAGTAGTAAGCGTAAGCCTCAACATAAACCTAGTATCTTCTCAACGCGTCAGCGGAGCAACCGTATGAGCTCTTGGTACAGTGAACAACGTACACAATGCATGGAGCTCCTCCTTCCTCCCTCCACATGCTAGCAATCGTGTTGTTCCCCCCGTTCGCATGATCCGTCCGATGGATGGAACTTCGCGAGTTTGAGACAATCATCAGAGTAGCGTGGGAAGCGACCGGGGAGGCTCAACCCCGTAGTCATCGCTCCCCGCGACCCATGGTTGGCAACTAAGTCTCAATGATGTTCAGCATAGAGTCGGTCACTTATTCTTGTGACTGAATCGTGTTGTTCATTAGGCGCTAGTCTTCCCATGTTTCTCGAGAAACCTTCGCTCATACGATGTTCTTGATGAGTTGAGAAGCCGGAGCGATTCTCATATTCTGCGGGCCATGCCCGAGAATATGTTCTGGTTGATAACATCCAACATGCGTAAAAGTTCAATCTTGACGCCTCCTGTTCCATTGTCACCACGGTCGCTAAGCGTAGAAGTACATTGGCACACCGAGAACGCAGTGGGGGCGGCGACGCCGATGTCGAGGTGCGATCGCGTGGTTCGCCATTCGAAGACATGAAAACCGCTCGACGCGCGGTTCGGCTGGAAATGTAGGTCCCTAAAAGAGCGAATTCCCGGAGTGGCGGTCGCAGATACGTCGCCGAGCATGCTCTCCGGGCGGGCCCTTCCCCGGTGGTGGTCCTGTCGGGTGTTTTTCCATTTCGGGTATAATTTCTCGTGACAGACAGCCCTCCTTTACATGAGGGGGAGGAGCGAAATCATGGAAGAGGTCGCCGCGTCGTAGCTAGCCTAGTGCAGATAAATTGAACGCGCGGGCTCTGAACCAAAACGCGAATGCTTCCAGAGCTGCAAATCCCGATTCTTCCTCCGCAATTTTTCGTTCCCGCGAGATGTCGAGTCTTCCCAGCTCAATCCAGTCCGATCGGCACATCCATATGAATTGGAGGCTGTCCCCGTGGAGGTCGTTGCTGTCGGTTCATGAATGCGGATGTTCATCCCCGCCTGCCCCAGACCTGAGCAGTTGTTGTATGAAGACTTACGATAGGTTAACGTTTTCCGATCGAGCAGCGGTCTCCTATTCTTCCTTTGAACAATAGCCTACTCCATGGGCGACGAACGATCGCGCTGCTAGCTGAAGTGGCCCCTTCAGGAAAAGCGCCCGCTATTGAGATAAAGAGGTCGAACGCTATTCGAAACTAATCTCGAGCGAACGCTCCACGGAATGCTCGTCAGGCGATGGCGGCGATTCCGACTGGTCACGGTCAATAATCCCGTCAAGCTTCTCGAATTTCTGAGCTTCCTGATTTTCCAGGAGAGGAGCAGACCAACCAGAGAGGATAGCCCGACCAGGAGCAGCATCTCCCCACGCTGAGAGATGAGTCCTCGTATGCAACATCAGGCTCGGGCGAGAACGATTTGCCTTATCTTGATTCTTGGATCCGATTGCTGGCGAGAATCTGTCTTGCTTCATCTCTCCCAAGTTGCTAATAAATTCGCAGAAGATTCCCGAATCGAGGGCTCAAGATCAGGTTTCTGTCAAGATCTCCCAACTATTCGACGGATCTTCAAATCTCGATTCTCCTGCAGTTCAGTCAGAGGTACGATCGCGAGTCACGAACATGATAGCTGAAGTTCTAGATATGATCCCCTCTGTTCATTTCCCAAGGTAGCAGGCAGCTCTAGGGGCGACTCTCCGCTTTTGTCTTCGCACGAGAGATTCATTCTCGGATCCGACGGCTTGAAGCGAATATGATTCTGCAACAGTCGGAGCGATATCCCAGAACTCTTGTCCCTGCAAAAGCAGCGGGCCCCGAGAGCCAAGAAGCAAAAACAGCGGGGACGAAAGGGACTATTCGTAGTGGTAGCGGAGGACGCGGAGGGTTCGATGGGCGAGGGTCGCGTTGTTGAGCGAGGGTTCCGGCTCCAAACTACGAGCATCTCCAGAGCACACAGCTACTCGATCCGCCACGGTTTGTGGAGTTCGTCTCGAAGCCGGTTCCGCGTTGTCCGACCTTGTGCGCTGAATTGTTTGTTGCACCTCTCCGGGCAATCTTCGCCGGAATTGCTGTCCGTGAGTCCGCCATGAATTGCGATACGTCGTGCTGATAAACGGTGCGTGGCCGACCAAAAGGCCAGCAGCCTCGCGGAGAAGCGCAGCCAACTTCAGCTGTTCTCCAGCTGACTGGGAATGCCAGGGAATGAATGAAGCAGCGCGACGAGGCAGATGCATCGCATCCGGGTCCCGTACGTGCACCCAATCGTGTGCTGCACGTTCAAGCGGGCACTACGGTTGTTGCCGTCGATTCTGCTGATTGCGTTCGTTCTTTCGTTGATATTCATCACGCTCATCCAGGTTGCCGTTATCCACTCGCAGCGGCGTGCCATCTACCTCCAGAGACGGGTGAACGGCGTGGTGTCGACGGCTTCGTCGTCGCCGTTATACGCTCAACCTTCGGCTTCGAGCTATCTTTCCTCCTACAATCAGCAACAGCAGAGCAACAACAATAACAACAACAACAAAAAGACACAAGCTGGTCAAACGTCGCCAACAGGGCCTTCGAGCGGAGGATCTACATCGAAACCTGGTGAACCGGCTTTGAGAGTCGAAGCTATTCTCGATAGGAATGCGCCTTCGGTTGAGAATTTCGCAGTGTTGGTCTACAACAATGCCAACGCTGCACGAATCAGACGGATATTCGACGCGGTCAAGTGTCATGTGTCGAACTCCTCCTCCTCATCACCACCGCCCTCGTCTTCGACAAATAGTGCTACAGTTCCGCCAGCCGTGATTGATGAGTCGTTGTCATGCGGCTCAACAACCAATGTGACTTTGTGTGCTCAAGTGCCTACCGGCCTACGTAAGTTTCGGAGGTTTAGGTTCCTATAGCCATAATCCTGGACTCGGAATCATCAATCGACTTGACCCGAGATGAGCGGATGCGGGGTTTTGAATGGCGCGAGCGTTTGGGAATCTATACGGGTTGTCGAGAAGGCTTGCTCCGAGAACGGGAAATCGGAAGACCTTCAAAACGCAGTCTTAACAGCTGTCAAGAGGCAAGGTGCAGAACTAATCCCGCTCGATTCGAACATTGATGGAACCGCAGGGGAAAGCGACAGTCTCCCTCTTCCTCCTACGAGCGGACAGGAAGGAGAAAATGCGAGATTCCCAGGCAAATCGAAAACCGATCGACGCCGAACCGCAAAACTTAATTGCTTTCGCTGCCGATTCCACCGTGGCGTTCCGAAACTTCCCCGGCTGAGTTTTTGCCTTCTCCTGAGCTTTGTTTTCTTTCCTTCTGCCGGTGGGAAGCGGCCTAGTATATGTATCGCTCAGGGGTTTCGAACAGGGAACAACTTTCCGAAAAATCGCCTCATGAATACCGAACGAGTTCTCTTGGAACTTTTGCAGTCTCCCCCGTAACAGGAGTTCTCTCCGCCCTTTCCATGCTTCCCTGGCCGGAGCTCCTGCCACTCGGTGCTGAGTCGTGTTTGGAGTCGAATTGTTTTCTCCGTGCAACACTCCGCCAGATCTACTGCATCGCATTCCGAGGTCGAAAGTCGAAGTTCAGCCTCACTGATTCAGCAATTCTCCTCCGGATAAGCACGCGTATAAATTTCTCGAACGTAGCTCCTCCAATTCGAGCGCGACCGGGGCAGGCGAACCTGCGAGGGACGAATTTTGTGAATCTCAAGCTCTCTTCGATTCGGTCACAACTTCGACGGCTGTCGTCGCTTCAGAACGCGATCGAGAGACGAGGAGAAGATCTTCGGAAGTCTATCGAACTGTGAAAGTCCTCGATGGGGTTGATCTATTTACTGGGGCTCGCTCGCAGCCCTGCGAATTTCACGATTCCAGCATGTCGATTTGATTCAATTTGATTCGGTCGCGAAAGGTCGTACGTCGAAATGCTGACGACCGACGGTCTCATGCACTCTGAGGCACGACGAAATCTCGGGAGGGTAAGGGATGGCGCACCGTTTCGGTTTGGAAAGGTTCCGCGGACTATTCGGGAACCAGGCAGGAAATCTCAACGAGAAGTCTCCGGATTTGGACACGGTGGTTTCGTTCTCGTCTGACTCGCATAAGACTCCGCACGACAGCAGCGCCTGTGAGAGCAGCCACAGAGAGCGAATAAAAATCTCGAATGCAAGGATGGACCGCCGTTTGAAAAGGAACGGGCAGCCTCGGTAACCCGGACGAATTTTCTCGCTCGGCTGCGTCACGCAAATTTTCCCAAAGGCGGCCGTGCTTGCACCTCGCGACCGAGGACTTCGTGCTGGGAACGACTCACGTGAACCAGTCAGCTGCCCCGGTGCCTGATTTTTGATAGAATTCGGAATCGCTCCCGGCTCGGAGTTCCGCACAGTGGGGGATCCGAGCTCGTCTGAGCCTTTTCACAATAGGAGCGAACACATTGTTCTCCGCCGGGAACGCTCTGAGGCTGGAGGGGGGGCGATAGGCCGAAGTGGATAAAGGCGGCCGGCTGACGGACTCGAGTGCGAGCTTCCTGCGGAGCCCAATCGCGATCAGACAGAGGCGTCTGACGGTCTCCGACAATCGGAATCACTCACCTGGGTCTATGACCGAACCCGGCATGAGTAAGACGTTAGAGAGGGGAGCCAGCAGGCTCTGGAGGCACTCCCAGTGGTGGAGTATTGAGCTACCTCCGGTTGAATTCGTGCGCGGCGCCGGCCGACAACTGTGGCCTGGATCAATGACGATCCGCGGAGACGTCTGAGTCGGCGATCGAATATTCGCAAAGTGGATATTGGACAGCCGATGCGGGAATTCGGTTGTCCGAAGATGTCTTTCAACGGAGAGCAAAGCGATAGGAAGTCGCACGTCGATGATGGTGAGAGCTCTCATATCGCAGATCTTCAGTGCTGAGGACAGCGAGAATTCGATATGGATCCCGCGGAGGAGATACCCAATATTCCGCTGTCCGAGCGGGAGCGATGCGTGAAGAAGAGAGGGAACCGTCATCTCGTCCAAAATCCTCCTTGAATTTTTCACCTGAGCACATCCGACGTGATTCTCCATGACTGCGTCCGCGTAGGAATTGATAAGAGGTGTGCGCTCCCGCCGCTCGCGATCGTTTCTATGTCCCGGTCCTCCTCTTTTCCCACGACTTCCTTCGGCTGTGTCGTTCTGCAACATCCGATCGTACGGGGCTGGAACCCTTCGAGTTATGAATTCAGAGATTCGGTGCCACCGAGCTAAATGATTCTTCCCGTCGGGGAGGGGAAGCTTTCCCAGGTGGAACTCCGACCACAAAGCTTTCTCCTGACCAACGCAGATAGATGGAGTGTTTGAGGTGAGCGGATCCAGACCGAGAGCCTGAATTCGCCCGAGACGGGTATTCGAACGGTTCTGAATCGAGCAGCTTATTCGGTGGAAAATCGCGATCTCCCGCGAACTAGGGTCGACTACAATCAACAATGGGCACCCTCGTCTCGGCTGCGAGAAGTTCCGCGTTCCGGAAGCAATGGAGGTGATTTAACATTTTCCACGTCAGCTTCAATACGCCCGATGGGGAGGAACTAATACGAGCTCGGCTTGTATAGAGAGCAACTTTGTTTCTGTTCGCAGACGAACCACCACCAACGGGTGTTCGAACTCGGGAACCGAACAAAAGACTAGAAAATGACGTCGCTGTTGGGGAGATTAGCTGCTCATGGAAGTATTCTATCAGGCAGCGCCACGCAGAAAACAAGGTCTATCGGAAGGACGATCTCTGGGGCAATTTTTCTCTCTTCTCTCTTCTCATCCGATCTCTGGGGCAATTTTTCTCTCTTCTCTCTTCTCATCCGCCAGCATCTCGGTGTCGAGTTCCGCCGCGTTAGTTCTCCGAGCTCCATGCAGATTCGTTCAGTTCGGGTTCGCTGTCCTGACAAAATCTGCCCCTGACTCGTCGTTTGCGTTTCTTCTGGATACGTCCAGCCGGAAATCGTGAGAATCCTATCTCCAGCATTGCCGGAATCGCAATCGCTCTGTTGACCCTCTAGCTGCAGAGAAGACTCGACGTAGTCGCGACTTTTGAGAATCGAGTCTGAGAAAGACGGCTCGGGAATCGGCGGCTGTCCTTTGATTCACAATATTGCGAACGATGTATCGCGAAAGGTCTAGAATCTGGGAGGCAAACCGAGAATAGCGGTGACGTGTGTCATCCAATCAGTTGTACCACTTTGCTCTGTGAGCTTTGGGAGGAGCTCTCCGAGGAGCATTTTGTTGGTGAGTTTCTCGATCAACGCCATCAATCATGAGCTGGTGCGAAAATGACTCACGACCATTCGGTGCAGAAGTCCGCGCAGAGGTCCGTCCCCCGATGTATGGGTACGCAAAGGAGAAAAAGGACGACGACTCATGGGTCGCACCCAATTATTGATGTTCGATGCAGTCCCAGGAGACTTCAAATCCCTCGAATTGAGATTGGATACCGTGGAGGATCGTCCAGCGCTCGAAAATGTATTGGAATAAAATTGTTCGCAGACCCCGAGGTCCCGAGACTCTTCTACCGCGATGTTGCTGGCTGGAGATAGCTGCAGAGCTCGTTGACAAGCGACGAGTGGTCGAGCTTTCTGCGCGTTCAATACATCTCAAGGGACGAGCTTCAAGAGCTCTGCTTCCGGGACGGCCGCGTCCGCCACGGGAACTTCACTTCGCGGCTTCGCCAGAAAAGCGCTGCTCGAGCGTTACCCTATCGATGATGCCAGGACATTGAACGTGGCTCCACGGCGAGAAACCGGGAGGGCCCCGGCCCGGAAAATATGATCAGCCAGAGCTCGCTAACAATGCTTCCTCCCCTCTGCCCACGATACGGCGGGCCGTGAGCAACCTTAGCTCACGGCAAAGGCCTTCAGGGGCAATACACTCACCGCGGGAGAATTTCTCCGCCTTTCGATAATGGTGCGCGTTTTGTTTCCTATTCCAATTCAAACCGCAAATTCTGCGAGAGCACTCGAACCCCGAGATATCGCTTCGGAATGAGAGAGCGGACTGGAGCTCCACGAAGCCCAAGCGCTCTCCGCAGGCCGCGGCGGACTGCTCCGAGACCTGAATACGCTTCATCGTCGGAAGTCGAGACTAGGGAGGGAATGATCGTTTGCTGTAGCAGGAAACATTTCTTCAGGAGCTCGAATCCCGCCTCCACGACGTTGGGTTGCCGCTCCGCCCGTCTGAGGCGGTTATGGCGTACGGCGTTCAACTCGTTCGCTTCTGATTTTCAAACTGTGTGTCAAGCTATTCCCCGGCAGAGCTCGGCAGCAACATCGGATCGTGCTCTAACATTGAACGTTCCTGTGGCGTGGCAGCTTACGTTACCCGAGAAGCAGGAAGCTCATTTGAGCTAAGTGCTGCCTACTCTGGAGAAGCCACGCTCCAGACATCAGAATGGGAAGGTTTCGGGAGGCTGCGCGAGGAGCCTTTCCAACGGAACAGCTCTTTGCACAAAACTCTCCCGAAACGTCTGATGTTTCCAACTGTCCCGTCTGACAATGCCCAGCCTACAGGAATTCTGACCTGTGTGGCCGGCACGGCACGCACGTAGACCGTCGACGGCCCTAGAGAGCACAGAAAGGCTAAATGTCCTCTGGCCCTTGGGTTGCGCTGGTCATCGCTTGTGTGCGTGACTCTACCTAATTCTTCTGGGCTGCTCATCTAATTTCCGGAGAGCTGGTTACCCGAGGCTCCAAGGCATGCGGGACATAAACGAACAATGAAGCCTGATGAGAGAGCTCTACCTCAAACATTGTGGAGCTGCCCTTCAAGAAACGTCAACGACAGCAACAGTAGCAGCCGAGTCTCTCAGAACGGGCCTCCGCCGAACCAGCAATCTCCTCCGGTGGCGTGCAATCATCGTTTCTCGTCGGGGAGACATCCGAGACTCCTCTGGAGGATGACACTTCTGCTTTGGTGGGACTTCTGTGTCTCAGAACGCTCCAATGAGCGGGTGTCCATCGTGGGTTTTGGTGCCGGGTTCTGGTCGGCCGCGACTGATATTGGAACTGCCCCGGTATCTGACGTCTCAAGTCAAACTTCCAGGACCCTCCAATTAAAATAACGCCGATGAGGTGAATGAGAATTTGCATTCGACTTGCTGACACCTTCGAGAACTAGGCTATCCGTCGGCTGGACTACCAGCGACCCGATCCGTACTCGTGGCGAAAGGTTGAATACCAAGCCTCGTTGCTGTCGTCCCACTCGAATCTATTGGCGGAGAGTTCATCGGGCCGCTTAAAGTCGGTGGGCTAACCCCCGAGTGCTGAATAGGGTAAACAGCTCGGAAGTATCATCAACTTCATCAAACTTCGCACTCTGCCTTGGTACACAATGATTCCTTTTTCATGACATGACGCAGTTGCCCTCGCTGTGGCAACGGCTCGAGTTCCATCGGAGCCCTCAACCGTGGCCCTCGACCGTAGCCCATACCTCCGCACAGGGACGTTCACAGCTGTTCGATCTGACTACTGAGTCGATGGCCGCAGCACTTTTTCGCATGTGTTAAGCAGCCAGAACTTCTCCGCCAACTCGAAGTAATGCACCACGAAGGAGTCTCGAATCTATTCGGACCCGCGTTGAAGCTCGAGCCAAAGATAGGATTCTCGTGTTGGTCGTCGAGCATCCTGGAGGCAGGAGAGACTCGGAAAAAAATCCGCGGTCTGGGCTTAGCGATAACCTGGATAACGGATCTCGTCCTACAATCTAATGGAGAGGGATCTCATGATTGAGCATCAGATGATTGATTGAGCCTGGTCATGTGAGAGCCCGGAATACGACGACGATCCTTCGGAGTATACCTATATCGAGAACGTAATCGACACCCTGCCGCTGCCGGACGAGACGGCCTGCGCCCCACAGCTCCGTCTTACGCAAGATTGTAATTTGATGTAACAACGACCGGGCGGTCTGGATGCGAGCCGAGTTCCTATAGATGTCTCATTTCTACGCAGGTGGCCGTCTAAAAGTGGATTTCTCGGACCGAACAAACGACAGCCAATGGGAGGGAGCTTCAGCGTTGAGTCAGATCCAACCCGGCGGATGGTGGTCGCCCTCATCTTGCACCTCACGTCATCGGGTTGCCATTGTTATTCCGTTTCGAGACCGAGCGGAACATCTAAGTCTTCTTCTGCAACATCTCCATCCGATTCTCCAAAGACAGCTGCTGGATTACAAAGTATTCGTCGTTGAACAGGTAGGTGGGGGAGACCGTTTTCGCTGATGCGGATTCGAACATTCGATTTTCGGGAAACGTTCCTCCGGCCTACCGGGGGCATGTCTGATAAGATTTCTGATCTCACATTTTCTATTGCTCAATTGCGCAGTATAATTCGTACAGAGAACTCGTGGACTAGAGCGAGACTCAATCCTATTTTGAAATCTTCCCAGTTCGGCAACGACACATTCAACAAAGGTGTGCTCTTGAACGCTGGTGCTAGAGAAGCTCTTCAGGATTCCAAGGACTATGAATGTCTGGTCTTCCATGACGTCGACCTAATACCTGAAGACGACCGTAATCTTTACTCGTGTCCAACGTTACCTAGACACATGTCCGTCGCAGTGGACAAATTCAACTACACGTGAGTGTTCCTCTCTGAATTCGCCATCCTCCCTGAAGTGTCTCGGGCACAGCAGCTTCGGAACTTTTCAGACGATCCGAAATCTCAATAAATCCTCTAGCCACCCAATGCTAATATGAGGGAGCCCCCTAGACCTTTATTTAGGCGTTCTCTCTCTGTCCGAATGGAACTGTCTCTCGGATCCCACGGGATCGTCTCAGCGGGGTGCTTCTAAATCCCTCCGAACATACACGCTTAAGTTCAGGGAATATTTGACATAAAGTCCCAGTTCGCTCACGGAGGAGAAGAGCCCCGTGGATTAAACTAAAAGGTTGAACTTGCTCCCTCCTCAGGTTACCTTATGTACAGTTAGTAGGCGGAGTTTTCTCTGTGTCGGTGCGGGATTTCGTCCAGCTCAACGGCTACTCGAATTTGTACTGGGGCTGGGGTGGCGAGGACGACGACATGGCGCATAGGTGAGTACGCTAGCGTAGGCTGAGCCCAGTCGACCCCACTCCTGCTGCATGCAGAGCGACGAGCGATGCATGTTGGATGAGTGACTAATTAGATGAGATTTCTTGCAGAATAAAACATAAGAAATTGAAGATTGTCCGACCTCCGGCTTCCGTCGGGAGATACACCATGATTCGGCATGCCCACCGGCCGGAGTCTCCGAATAATATCAGGTGCGATATTTGGCTTGACTCTCGTTCTGCTCTGTTTGCGAATCTACTTCTTGATTCATCGAAGGCACGATTCATCGAAGGCACCGGTGCAAGAGGCATCCGACTGCAGATTTCCGTTCATTCTCCATCACTGTCAGCAGAGGCTCATTCGTTACATTCGAAGCCTCCGCCCAAAGCCTCTGCTCTCGAGTGTCCATCGCTAACAGAACATTTCTCATGTCTGACGATTCGCTTTCGTCGGGCCGCAGGAGAAATGAGAGCAAATATCGGGATGACGCTCCCCTCTACGGAGAGCAGGCGTGAACTTCGATTCTTGCTCTGCCGTATACTCGAGAGGAGAAAAGTTCTTCCCTCTCGAACTTGAAGCCGCTCATCCCGTGATGAAATCATCGTTTCTTACTCATGGAGACCATCGACCGCCTACTTTGTTGCTCACAGCTCCGAAAGATTGGTTTCGGTCACTTCAGAGGGAGAAACCGAGGTTTCCAGACACAGGAAAATCTTCGACGCAGAGGCCGGTGTCCCGCCAAAAATTTTGAGCTCTTACTACTTCGGTCGCATTCTCGAGTCGACCCTAAGCTCCCGAAACATGCTCCGATTGACGACAAAATCTCCGGCGGGCATGGGTCCGACCTCGGCCGCTCAACTCCCGGTGCTGATCTTGCCTGCGAATCCTCGGGAATCGTGGTCAGAACTCATGACTCGAGCTATTTCCCGTGAGGCTGCAGATTTTATCCGCGAATCGGGATCCCGGCACTGATTCCCTCCATAGTCGTATCGCTCAAACGCCGGACTAGTTAGAGGGAGAGTGTTACAGGGCAGGAGGTCCCTCAAGGAAAAATGAAAAGCCCACCCCCAATCATGGGGAAAACTGAACAAGCGCCCACCCCGTCGATACTTCCGACGAGATATTTCAAGGGTCAGCGTTCGGTGCCGACAGCTTTGAAGAGCACTTAGGCTACAGATTTACTCTAACGGAGAGTTTTTTCTTTTCAGGATGACTTTCATTCGGATGGCATCGTACAGAATGAATCGCGATGGCCTCACGACGGCTAAGTATACGGTTGTCGGGCGTTACGCGTTGCCCTTCTACACCAAGGTCGTTGTGGACATCGGACATAACCACAAATGGCACTTTGCCAATCCACAAAAACTCATCGTCAGCTTGTAGCAGCAACGGCCAGGGCACAGCCCGGATGCGGACAGGAGAGCGACAATACGAACAAATCAAGAGAAATAGACGGAAGAAGTGACGCTTGAGGCGTGGCGCAGCGATGAACAAGAGAGTTCAGAGCTCGGGGGATTCGAAGCTCTTATGGAGCCGGGACATCTGAGAGAGATTGGGAACAGAAAAGTGAACAGCGGGCATGGAGTGGGCAGCATTGCGACGCGGGTGAGACGAACGGAAATATTCACAAACATAGCGAAGTTTCGCTTTCTGTCGTCAGGGAGCTCGAAGGCGTCCGAATCCCTCGCGAGAACCTCAGACAAAGAAAGAACTTCATTCGCAGCGGGCTTAAAATGAGATTTTGGGTTGAATAGCAACCACCGAGGAAACGAAAGGGAGAACACTTACAAGGAGACGGTTCCGGGCAGTCGGCTGCTGAGCTAGTTCGGCTTTTTGGCGAGCGACTCGTTGCCACCGGCTGGCTGGCCGACGAGATGGTCGGTTTGTTTGGTGGCCCTTCGCTTGGCCGTCGGGATTTGTCCACACTTGTATATGTATGTGTTTGTACATCAGCACGAAGCCGCCACGCGATGCGAGCTGTGCAGGCTTTCGGTGCCCGACAGTCAGAGCAACGAACTCAAAAAAGAACGCCGCGCCGCTGCGAGGAGGCTGTGTAGCCGGTATCGTTCCACCACAAAAACCGTCCATTTCCACGGAGCATTGTCGAGTTCCTGATCGCAGCTCCCCGCAATGACCAGTGGCCGTCGATCCACCCATTCACCGAGCGTCCATCAACGTGTCGATGATCATCGACATTCTGGACGATTCGTCAATTCGTTGCCGGGAATTATCCTTTGTACCTTTCCCATTTATGGACTCGCAGGCGACCTCCACGCGACCATGTGGTGGATGTCTCCTCTAACGTTCCAGCCCGATTTTCGCTCTCCGTCGTTCAGGGAGCTTTCCGTGTTCGTTGCTGAACTGGAACCACAAAGTATTTCAAACACGAACTTTGTATGGCCGCTCCCGGGGGACGGATTTCGACTAAGGAAAAGGGAGCTACGTGAACAGGAACAGGTGCAGAGTGGAGCATACGAAAAAAGGTGTAGACCTCCAGCTGCAAAACAACGAACGGAGCTGGAGGCACTCAGCTGAACGTGTACACACACGCGAGTAGGGAAAGAACGACTCGTGTATGGTGATTTCCTTTGGGGAGACGATTGTGAAAAAACGCGGAGTAACGAGAGAAATAAAAACTACTTTTGTCGTTGATGATATATTTTAAGCAGAAACGTGTGATTGATCTTTCCGGATTCGGTCGAAAGGGAACCACAAGGTGAGTCTTGCGAAGGGAGACCCTATAGACTTTTCGAGTTGATCATCAGTTCCCCAGAAGGCGCCAGGGGAGATATCCTGAGTGGCTCTCTTCTCTCGCGTGGACCGAGGCACAAAGAAAGCTGGAGCATAGAGCTGATCAGATAAGTTTGATCGTACGATGGATACAGTGCAGTACAGGCAGAATTGCTAAATGCATGCCGGGGCTGCTAAGAGGGTCCCAGAGGCTGGTAGTTGCATCGTTTAGCGTTGCGGAGTGAAGCGAACGGGTGGTCCATTATTCGACAGCTATTACGGATACTTCCCACTCTTGTGTGTCGAGGCCAGCAATTTGCCGGCGATGTTCTGAGAAACTACGGGGGGAAACAGCTTGACAATTATGTTCTTAGTTGGTTTGTCATTTGATGTGGCGGTAGATACGTGGGACTGTACGAAATTCGATAAGCCCAGGGGGTTGTGCAGTGGGAAGAAATCAGTAGGTACCTAACGATGCTTATGTTTTGAATCCTCGAGCTTTGCATTCCCGAGTGTCATGGACGTATTTCAAAGACAGACAGTGGGGAGGAATAAGCCGTAAAGCGCAGAGGGCGCGGAGATCTCTTCGTTGATTTAGAGATATTTGGCAGCGCCCTGACAAAAACATACGCGACCATAGATTCGAACTCCCAGAGCCTATATGTCGAGCCGAATCAGCGCCTGATTGACCGATCTGCCCGACCAGCACACTCATCGATGCATCGCTCGATTCGCTGTGTTTAAGGATTGAGTCTCCCCGAGCCTAAGCGAATGCCAGACCCATACTTTGGGCCTTTAATACTGTGAGATCCAGTGAATTATCGATTGAGGTCACGGAACTTAAGTTCGCCAGAAGCTGTCACTAGATCGAGGATGAAAGAGCTCCGAAATGGCATGGACGAGAAGCTCCGTCGAATCCTGTCATTTCAAAGTCCCGATCGGATCGTCTCCCTCGCGACCTCGACCACGGTCTGCATGCAGCGAGAACGTGCGAGAAAAGGAACCGCTAGGGTGCCTAACAAACGCAGCGAGCACGAAATCACTTATCCCACTCTTGAGGTAGCCCCAACGCTTCGTTGGCAGGTCCTCAGCCGTCCTTCAGATCGAAAAAGTAGCATCAGTGGCAGTATCGGCGGCCGAACGTCTGAGAAGAATGAGGACGAAAGCGAGTCGACAGCCTCTAAGCTGGTGAAGAAGGCTTCTGACCGACATTGGCCGCCGCACCGTTCTCAGCTGTGTCTCGTCTAGAGCCTCGATTCTTCTGGTCGGAAATCAACAAGGGAAGTGTACGTATATTTGATGGACGAATGATTTAGGTACCGATTGACTTGCATCCATTCATCGATTCGAGTCTCCCCAAGAAAGAAAGTATTCCGAGGAAGGAATGGACAGGTATCACGTAGGCAAGAGAACAAAATCCCTTTTGTAATATATCTGCTAGACATTGGGGAACTGGCCTCCCCCCCTCGCTATCGACAGAGAACCACCGATACTCGGCGAGCTTTGCGTCTTACTTCGGGAGTTGCGCGGACAAGAATGCATTCCTCCCTCTCTGCTGTCAAGCATTTGGCGAAGGCCTTCCGAAGGATCCAGATCCGCGGACCCGGTACGCGAGATTCTCCAAATTTTTGCGGCTTCCACCGGCTGGACTCACTGAATATACTAAAACACATGATCATCGATACACATAAGGCATATGAAAATATGGGATATATGTTCTCCGCAGATGGTGGCCACCAGGATTCGCGCATCTAGGATCCGCTGATCCGTCGATCTCGACGGAAATCGCGCATGTTTGCAGGCCCCCATGGTTGCAGGAGTAGAGGCTAGCTGGTACACGTAGCTCTTTCCATAGTTCCATTGTTTGAATGGCGTCACCCGCATCCTGCGAGTCGGGGTTGCATCCCCGTAGAAGTCCATAGAGCCTTCAGCCAGTTTCCGGGTCAGAAAGCGCAAACTTTGTGTCTGGAGCGCCCACCTCATCGGAAAAAATCTGAAAGCCTGAAGAAGGGCAACTTTCGCCTCATCCACGCAAGGCTACACTGAAAGCAAAGCGAACCTCCGATTTACCTAAAAGAACGAAAACGCATGCGCACCTCCGACGTGCCGGCCAGTCTTTTGCGCGGGGATATCGAACGTCGGTCCTTGTGCCTGACCAAGAATTACTTAACCCGCGCTGGACTTCGACTGTCCGGGGGAAGACACCAGAATGGACCTCGTTTTTGGTAGAACGGCATAGGGCAATGAATTCACAGGCGACGACCGTCAGAATAATATTAGCGACGTCATCTACCCGCACTGAAACAGCGAGAGTTTCCCAAGCACGACGAAGTTTGGCACCGAGCCAGCTCGCCAAGCGTCAAGCAAACACGAACGTATATACGTATCCACGCCTAAGAAAAGGGGAAGCGCTTGACGCACGCTGAAGCTGGAGGAGACAAGCCGAGGTGCATGTTTTACACGGTGAGAAGGCGTCAGACTTAAGTTTCTCGTTCCTGCTCTAGATGCAAGCACTCTCCCGGATGGGATCGAGCCCAGAATTCCAACCCAAGCGGAATCTCCTCGATCAGAGATCCGATGATGACGTCCTCCATCCTCCCCGTAGGAACGGGAAGGTTGAGCCGGGAGGTTACGCGTCAGCGCCCATCACAGCAGATAGATTGAACCGAAGCGGGACCGGGTCATTGTAAAATGAAACGCACCGACATCTCTTCTCGATGTCGTTGCTGTTGCTCCCATCGCCGCCCCTACGCGCTCGTTAAGGCGCCGTCGAAAACGTTGATTACTTCCTGGCGCCCCTTCCTCCCATTCTCTGATGTTTCAGACCGTCTCGGTCCGTGCGACGGGATTCACACGGAGATCCGCCTGCTGCTCAGAACACAGCTCCTGATGAGCTGTTGAAATTCAGTACAAGCCATGAGACCCCGTATATCAGAGGAGATGTCGACCAAACATTCACTCACTTTCTTCCCATGATCCAGGAACGTCTCGAGGAGCTCGTCAGCAAATGAGAGCTCATTCACTCGACGCCGAGAGGGCGACTGCTTCTCGGTGTAAATCATAGCGAGGGCGCTGGTCTCCCGACGGAATTCTCGCCTGCGCGAACAGGAGCGACGAGAATCGGCCGAGTGAAGTTTTCTCAAAATAGGAACGCCATCCACTCCGAATGCTGATGTTCACCGAGTAGACGACCGTAGGTTCTTTTCTATGGGAGATACTCTCGACAGACAAGTCAACAGCCCACTGTCCACAGACGACAAGTCAAACCGAAGGCTTCCACAGGAGTGCGGAGTGAAACTTCGGGAAACTTCCTGTGACGCATTCAGGAAAAGTGAGAGAAAGCGAGGTCTTCATCGTTCTCTCACTTCTCGCCGACGCCTCTCACGGCAATCAAAGCACACGACGTGCACCTCGAACACCTTCGCGAGTCCTCTCCCGGAGCAATGAATCGTTTCTAGAGTGAGCGTGACCGTGCTCCGACGTATTTGCTTAAGCAAATACCAACCGAGACGTGATTCCAAAGGCTCCTCTCGACAAGTTCTCAGTCTCCATGATATGCCTGCAAATGTGCGGACCCTCGAGAGCCGCTCGAATCACAAGCGAGCGCGGGTTCTGCTCGGTGTAGAGTTCTTCCAATGCGGGTTTCTTTTCGG